GCAAGGGCCGAGTGAAGTACCGGTGAGTGAAGTACCGTGGAGTGCAGCCATCGAGGACGCTGGCTTTCGAAGGGGGTGGTAATGTAACAAGTCCCACATCGGGAAGGTCTCCTTACCAGGGAGGCCTTATAAGGCGGGAGGTTCTCCAACCTCTTGGGCCGGCTTTTGAAGGATGGTTCCCCTCCTTAGTCTTATGCTCGTTACAGACACTCACAGTGAAAAGTAAAAAAACTTAAATTTCAGTTTTGTCCTTTGAAACCGAATGAATGAGCAGGTTTCAAAAATAAAATTTAATGAATCATTTATCACTTCTTTATCTTTTACTAATGTCCCTTATTTGATAACCAAAAATAAAAAGTAAAGTAATTGGATGGATCAATTTGGCTTGGTTCCTTAAAATCAAAATTCAAAATCCGAAACAAACTAATTGAAATTCCCAGAAATTTTAACACATGTTCTATGATATGAGAGTATATCTCATACTCCCAAAATAGCTAGTCAAATTCATAATGAAAATTTTTAATTTCTAAGATATTATTTATACATGATAAAAAATATTAAATTACACTAATATAATTTTTATTAATTATTATATTGTGAATAACTTTATATTTTATCGATTCACTAAGTTATAATTTTATATTATGTTGAATGTGTATGTGAAGTTTAGGGTTTTTTCTGTACAATATCTTTTATTATTAGTTAAATTTGATAAAAAAAAAATTGTACCAAAAATTTGAAAAAAGTCAGTTTTATAAATTTATTAAACGATAGAAGCGTGCTAAAGATGATATATAAACTAAGTGTCGTGAGTAATGTTCAACGTAAACAGACATAAAATTTATAATTAATTTGCATGATAAAGTAATTTGGTGTGTATGGGGGGTGGGGGGTTTATATTTTCTATTAATCAGTAAAAGGTACCAAATCTGATTATTATATGAGCAAAAAATTCAAAGATTATTTGACCATGATTTTCGGCTTGATATACCCAAATCTACACGGTTTTCAAATTACAATGAGTAGCCCAAGTTATATATTTTTTAATGATAGAAAACAAAAATTAAAATTAAAATTATCAATTTTTATAAATTATTAAGATTGGCATAATGATAGAGGAGGAGAGTGGGTATATACAAACTCTTATATTTAAACTTTATCATAATTATAGTAATTTTAACATCTAAAAATAAACAAATTTTAATTAATGATTTTAAATTTAAGTTTTAAATATATGATTTCATTAAAGCTTAAAAAAAAGAGTTTTATCCCCTCTTGATAATTTTATTTGGATCTATTATCTCGTGGAAAACTCATGTCTCAAAATAAAATTAAAAAAACAAAACCATGGACATGATTCTTGACATGCTTTATATTGTATGGTAGATTAATTTGAATGGCTAACTGAGTACTAAATAATAAGTTAAAATTGACCTACAAACCAACTCCAATATAAAATTATTTGAATGATGAATTTAAACATTTAAAATAAAATTTTCAGATCAGCTAGCCAAAGCAGCCTCCACCAAGTGGATCATATATAGCTTTTTTCTTTGCCTTTTGGTTTTGTTGGCCTTATACTCATTTCTTAATGAATAAGATAATGAGAGAGGGAAGTTTATTCGAAGCACCCCATCATTGGATCATTTCCACACATTATCTTCTACATGTCATCAGTAACTAAGTACTACAACAACTATATATTATATATATATTTCTAAACATGACCTCATCACTCATAAAAAAATATAACACATTACTAATTGGCAGGAATTGTGATATTAGAATATCATATATATAACCAATTCCAATCACAATTTTCCCTTTTAGACCCATCTTAGCCAAGGAATTTCATGTACGAATTATATATACATAAATTTGTATAATGTGTCATTGCAAAAAAAAAAGAAAGTAAAATTAACAACCTATTAAAAATTACTGTAGATATTAAATTTATCATATATAATAATATATAATGGAATCACATACTCACAATATTTTTATTTAGGTTTAAATATATTTTTAGTCTTTAAAATTTAAAATAATTTTATTTTTAGTCTCTTAAATTTAAAATTATTATTTTTAGTTCTTGTAATTTTAAAAAAATTTATTTTAGTCTTTCAGTTTAGCAATAACATATATGAAAGTGACAAATTAAGATAGTTATGCAATATCAATTGAATTTAATGCGATATTATCAATAAATAAATTTTATGCAATAATATTTGATAAATTTTTTAATGTAATTTGAATATAAAGACTAAAATAAGATATTTTGAAATTATAAGGACTAAAAATAATAATTTTGAATTTGAGGGACTAAAAATAAATTTACCCTAAATTTGAGGGACTAAAAACATATTTAAACTTATTTATTTATTTATTTATAAAAATACAATAACAAAATTTCAACTAAAATTTTATGTATATTATTATACTAAACCGATTATAGTGGTTGAAATTCACTTTATATATAAGTGAGTTCTAATTATATAAGTATAAAAAAAAAATTGTATGTGTTATAAAATTGCTTAAACACTAATATTTAATGATTTTGTATTTTGAAAATATAGCACATTGTGATTGACAACTCACAGTTTGACTCGAGAACTTCTTTTCTACTACACAACACTATTTCTACATTATTTGGACGTTTTTTGGATTCATTCACTCTATTTGGACTAGGGATGTCATAAGAAAAAACAATACGAAAACAATAGAAAAGTGAAAATAGAATAAAACGAAAATGAAAAAATGTATTATATATTTAGACAGACCAAAATTAGAAAGAAAGTAAAAAAAAAAAAAAAGGTATTTTCTTTGCTTATTTAATTGAGTGAAAATGAGAGAAACAGAGTAAATTATACAAATATAATTTTATAATAATAAATTTAATGTAAAAATTAATTTTTACTATAGTATTTTTTCAATAAAAAGTTATACTACATGTATAAGAATTGTGTTATATTCTCTGGCGCAAATATTGCTGTTTTCTATTGACCAATGGAATGCCCTACGAAACTTCTGTCTATTAGTCAAAATCTCTGTCTCTTGTCAATTACTAAAATATTTGAACCGAATCTGGGGGCACGTTTTAGTTTATTTTAATAATTTATGTAATGAAACTTGATCAAATAAATACAAAACATTTATCCATCTATCTATATTTTTCAATTTTTTTTCACCTTTTATCTATCGACTTTTTATTATTGTTCTTTTCCAAACATGCCAACGAGAGGGATATTTTTATTTTATTTTTAAATTCGACAACATAATTCTGATAAAAAAAATGAGGCAAATTATTCAGTTTGTTTATGTTTATTATTAGTTCATTCATGAAAAATATTAGGCACTGTTATCAATGTATGGACATCATCAAATACTCTTTTACTGTCAACACAGCTGGGAACCACAGCTATAATATTAGAGTAGCTTGTACGTAATTTTTATTTTTATTTTTTTAATTTTTTATGGACACAAGCCAATGGCACCCAAAAAGGAATAATCACAATATAAACAATAATTGACAATCATAATTCAATATTGTGCAACTGCCTTCGTGAGTATTATGAATTTGATGATTCTTTGTTGTAGCAGAAGCCACTTAACCACTGGGCACCAACATATATTTTATTCCGATTCTTCCTTCTTTTTCTTTCATATTTTTCTTTTGTTAATTTTATGTTTACTGATTTTTTTTTTTTATGTCTATTCAATGTGCTCATATTTAACAAAAAAAAATGTTATATAGGCAGCAATAAAAGAGAGAAGATCAAGAAACAGAAACTAGTCACACAGTCACATTGTATAGTGTTAGCTCACATTTGTGATTCAATTTAAGATATGCTTAACAACGTAACTTTGCCAAGCATATGCTCAACATCACACCTTTGGTAGGGGACCTATATCTTTGCATGAGATGCATGCATGCTGTTCTCATTCGTGTCATAGATTTGTAGATATAAGAAATTATTTTTGTAATATAAAAAGTGTATATGAAACTTTATGCATATTTATGAGAGAAACATGAAGACAACGGAGACAAGTGTAAAATAAGGTGAATAATGGAATGAAAAGAAATATATACAAAACAATATTATAAAATGTGTTGAACAAATGTATTGTACGATTAATAGTTATATCTTTAAATGCCACCTAATCAATTTATGCCAAAAAAAAATTAGAAAAACACATGCAGGCACATGAAAGAGAAGAATTTGCTTTTCTGGTCAACCCTGATATGCTCTGTTTCTATGATCTGAACTCCAAATCCAAATTGATAACTTTACACATTGAGATCATTTAATAAAACTGAATCACACGCATTGGCCTGATTGTGAAGGGTCTAGGTAGTACACAAGGTTTCAAATTCTGAACTTCTAACTTTTTTGTTACTATTATATATATAAAAAAATCATTAAATAGCACCATAGCAGCGGTAACAGAGTTGCTTGAAGGAGCATAATTGAGGATGATGTTGCACATAAAGGAATACTATGTAACCAAAAAGAATTCAAGCACAACAAAATTGTAGTCGCAATGTTATTAAAGCCTCAGAAACTACATTAAATATTGTAGTCATAAGTCAATAGTTGGGTTCAATAATTCAAAATAACACAGCTTCGATTCTCCTAATTAGTTTAAGAAAAAAAAAGAGTGGTCCTTAAATTGATCTTCTCAAAAGTAGAAGAAACGAAAATAATTATCCTAGAAAACTAGTATTGACGAGCCAGTTTCAATTCTGTCTTTCTGGGAGAAGATGTGACCATTATTTTTCACTCAAAAGAAAGAAAAAAAAAATAATCACAAATTTTGAATACAAGGACGAGGATTAGATCCAGCCCCACCACATGCCACTGTTTAAAGAATCCATCCAAAATCGCACTGTTTCCGCCAGCAGAATTAAATAAAGAAATAACACGTATACACATTAAGAAAAAGGTGCCATGTTTTCACATTCTTCACTCTCTCTCACTCTCTGTCATAAACCAACACATAAACATTATATAAGGCTTTGTCTCAGACAACTTTTTGTGCACTCCTCGTCCTTTTCCTTCCTTCAACAAAACACAGGAAGATGGGTTTCTTGTTACCAACCCTCTTCCTTTTTGTGTTCTCCCTCCAAACAAAGGCTGAGGAATTTGACTCCTTCTTCAATGCAAACATTTCCAGTTTCAGCAGTGGCAGAAAACTGGCAGGAAGATGCAATTTTTTCCGTGGGAAATGGGTGTATGACCCTTCATACCCTCTCTATGACCCCTCTACATGTCCCTTCATAGATCCACAATTCAACTGCCAAAAGTACGGTCGCCCTGACAAACAGTACCAGAAATATAGGTGGCAACCCTTCTCTTGTCCTTTACCAAGGTACCAACAAGAACTATCAACCTTCACTTTCGCTTCTTCTTTGCTTCAATGTTCAATCCTTTTCATGCTTTCTGTGGTGGCTAAACGTTGCTTCTCACAACAGGTTCAATGCGTTTGATTTCCTGGCCAAGTATAGGAACAAGAAAATCATGTTTGTTGGTGACTCCTTGAGCTTAAACCAGTTCAACTCACTCGCTTGTATGATCCACTCTTGGGTGCCAAAAACTAGAACCTCTTTTATAAAGCAAGATGCTCTCTCCAAAATCACATTCCAGGTTGGTTTCTTTTAATTCAAACAAAACTTAATATTGTTGTTCTGTCATCATAATTAAAGTTTCATCTTAATAATACATATAATACAAGATTTGAATAATTGTGTTACATGGTACTGAAATAAAATTTTAATTCTGATAGAAGATGAACCTATTGTATCTAATATTTATTTCTTTTGCGTTGAATTGAGGTGGTGGGAGTGATGATTGGTTGTTTTGTACTGTGTTGTGACCATACAAGTGGTGTCGTTTTCTGTCTCTCAAAGTTGAAAACCGTTAAATATTTGCCTTGTTTGAAGTTTTGAATCGGAATTAATTCAGCTACTGACGAGTCCAATTGATTTGGTGTAAGATTAAAACTTGGTTTTTGTGGGTATATTTTTGTGTGTTGCTGTGAAGCACCGAAATAAAGTGTGCGACGTGATTGGTGGGGGCTTCTCCTTTTGCAGGGGACACCCTTGATTGTTAATAGAAGGATAATAAATGTTTGCCTTAATTGCAATAATTACACTTTACTCCAACTGTTACTCTTTCTACCCAATTTGAACGTGCGCATAAATTTCCTTAGCTACATCGAAACAGAGAAAATATTTAAAATGAAATATATGTAATTTTTTTTTTCATTTCTTTGGTAGTTAAAAAGTGATTTTTAATAAATTTTTCTGTATCCGCTTTGTTTATTGATTATTTGCCTAGAAACCCTCAAAACCTTTTTTTGAGTGTGTGTTCCACCAAATTGTCAAACGTTCTTGCTTTATATAGAAACTGTATTAAAGAAATGTCTTAGTTAGCAATGATGAATGTTGGACATATGGTTTTCCTTCCAAATCTTTGCTATGTGCCTAGTAACATCAAGTCATCAATCGCGGCTTAGAATTCCGCAGCAACCAACAGCCATCATTAGTAATAACTAAATCATGAACACTGTTACTCAGCTAACTTATTTTTCTTTGCATAATCCGTTTCCGCAATTGTAATGATTGGAAATTTGATATCTGCCTCATCTTTTCTTTCTCACAATCAAGAAAATCCTATTGATTATTACATGCTTTACTGTGCTTGTCCACCATATATAAAGCCTCAATCATGCTATTTACACAATATTACGGGTATAATTATACATAATTGCATATGGGTTCATGGTGCTCAATAGAAAAGATGAAAAATTGAAGTGGGCCATATATATTTTATATCCATGCACATGTACAACTACAGAAAATTGTGACAGCTACAGTAGTTCTAGGTTTGTAGATATATCTTCTGGAAATATCAATATAATTTGTAATTTAGTCCTTAATCACTTTCAAAATGGACCACTTGACACCTGTGGCTTCATTCAAACGCTGTCCTCTACTTGCAGGACTACTTTTTCTTTATAAATTCGGTAAGCTACAAAAGTGTAAAAAAAAAAGGGCAACTTCTTTATGATAAGGAGGGTTTCTCTTTTTCTTCTAGTTAATTTTTATTCCATGGTCCTTATAGTTTTTCAATATTTTGAACCTAGAGGCAAGAAAAGACACCACTTGATAATTTGGTAGGAAGTTTCTTAAGAAGTAAACTTACTTTGGTAGAGGTGCCAAAATAGACAAATGAAAAATTATTCACTTGTATGTATATCCGTATAATTCATATAATTGTAATAATAATAATTTTTTTTATTAGGACTATGGGCTTGAATTATTTCTATACCGCACACCATACTTGGTGGACCTTGATCGTGAGAGCGTTGGAAGGGTTCTGAAGATTGACTCAATAAAGAGTGGTGACGCATGGAGAGGGATGGACGTGCTAGTTTTCAACACGTGGCACTGGTGGACCCACACCGGGAGCTCACAGCCGTAGGATCAACTTTCACATCATTATGTCATAATCAATTTCGTTAATTTAGGGGAGAACAATATTTGATTATTTGTGTTCATTAAAATTCCATTTCAGGTGGGACTACATTCAAGAGGGTAACAGGTTGTACAAAGACATGAACCGTTTCATTGCATTCTACAAAGGCTTGACAACTTGGGCTAGATGGGTTAACATCAACGTCAATCCAGCCCAAACCAAAGTCTTCTTTTTAGGAATTTCACCTGTGCATTATGAGTAAGTTACTTAAGCACCAACATTAACAAGTGTCTATACTATATCATAAGAATAATACCAGTAACACTTCATTATTAGTCGAAAATTATAAATTTTGATGAGTCTCATCACTGAATCAAGAGAGAATGTTACTAAAATTTTCTGTATGATAATTTAAGTAGTACTTTTTATTTATTTATTTATTTATTAATTGTGCATGGTGGTGTATGTGATGTGGTAATTAGGGGGAAAGATTGGAACCAACCAGCGAGATCATGCATGAGTGAGACAGAACCATTTTTTGGTTTGAAGTACCCTGCAGGGACACCAATGGCATGGGTGGTGGTGAACAAGGTTTTGAGTAGGTTAAAGAGGCCAGTGTATTTCCTAGATGTGACTACACTTTCACAGTACAGAAAAGATGCACATCCTGAAGGCTACAGTGGGATCATGGCAACAGATTGCAGTCATTGGTGTCTTCCAGGATTGCCTGATACTTGGAACGTGCTTCTGCATGCTGCACTTTTTGGCTGAAGGAAGCAGTGACTTGCCAACTTTGTTTAATAGAGGAAAACCAATTGTTTTCTAATGTAGGAAATATTTAATTTGCCATTTTAATTTGCTTCTTGGAATTGGACAATAAAAGGGTTTGATTCTCCAAATTGTAAATTTATTATTGTTTTGGCATAAACGTGCCTTTGATGTACCAAATACGCCCCCCCTTTGGAATATTGAAAAGCATTTGCTCTGAAGTTTCCTTTGGAATGACTTGCTGCTGGATTGTTGTGAATCAAGTACCTTGTGAAATTCCTCTTTTCTGAAGCTTAATAATGCAAAAGCTAACAGAGAATCTGATCTCACTTTGCTAACTAAACCAATGTAAAGCATCATCAGTTCGGATTAAATTACAAGAGAGCGAAAGAGTCTTCCAAATTTAGATAAATTTAGCTGTCCTTTCTTTCAGGAAAACTTTTCTTTTTTTCCAACCTTCCTATTTCAACAATTTAATAAAAAGAAAGTTTCTACTTTCTACAAAATAAGAAGAGAAAGAACTTTCCTTTATTGTCACGTTTTTACTATCAACGTGAACCCCATAATCAATGAGACCAAAATAAAACAAATGATGATAATTTCAGTAGAAAAAGAAAAATGGCCCCTACCCTACCAGAGTTATATTTACATCTAAAAGAGCCTGCAATTAACAAGGGAATTTAGCTCAATTAAGTGAATGCCTTCAATTCCTACTGATAAAAAAAAATCCAATTTTATCTGATTAGACTGTGTAATTGCAGAAATGAAACCCAAGTACAAATATTTCAACTTGGTTTTGTCCAATCTATTGATGGGCCTATAAGTTTCAGTCCGATCCACAAATAAAACCCAAGTACCTAAACAAACACCAACATGCCCCCAACAAGAGGTATGGCCAAGATCTAGAAGAAAAGCTTTGTTTTACATGTACTATGAGGGAGTGGATATTCTGATCACGTGTCAACCAATGATTAGAAGCACATTGCAGCCACGTGTCTTGCACTAACTCATACGGGGTGAGCCACATGGACCCTCCACCACCTTCTATATCCAATGATTCCAATCTAAATCTGCTTCCTCTGTTCTCTTGGGATGAGTCACATTAATTTAGTCCTAGGAATATCACACGTTGCAATTCCCACTAGTCCTTTTACCACATGTCCTCCATGCAAACACATCCACCACCAACGACCTCACCAACCGCCAATCCCCTTCTCCTTTTAAATCACATACACATCCCATGCACACCCCACAACATCAGAATACTCCATCATCTTCCTCACTAAACATTGTTATTGTTCTTTCAAGCAACAAACACAAGTCCACAACGCAACAACATGGCGTCTGAACAATTGGTTCGCAGAGAAAACACCACCACCACGGACGACAAAGTCCGGGTTCCCAAGATGGCCACCCGCTTTGAAAACCTTACCGGTGGGAATGACACTCCACAGGGTAGCATGGAAGCGTTACAAGGTGGAGAGCTTAACAAAGAGCATGAAGGGAAATCCATTGGTGATGTTGGTGGACGTGGGAAAGCGAGGGAGAGCCATGAACTGGGTTCACACTTCGAATCCCTCGCTGACAAAGTGACGGGTGAAGATCACAAAGAGAGGGTAAGTGACCATGCATCGAATGTAGCTGGAAACAAAGAGGGTGAAGGAATCGCGAGAGAAAGACCTGCTCGTAATGTTGGAAAGTTCGACATGGAAAAGGAAGGTGGAGAAAGAGAGAAAGAACTGCAGAGACAAACGAGAGTGGTGAAAGGAAGAATGGAGAAAGAAAGAGGAAGAGAAAATGAAGGGAAAATAGTGGTAGAAAAAGGAAGAGTTGGTGCTGAAAATGAAGGTGCAGGTGGAACCGCTGTTATAACAAGCACATTGGAAAAAGGTGGTGATACTGAGAAACCAAGAGAAGAGAACGAAGGTATTGATGAAGCTGATCAGAAGAGTGCGAAGGAGACACTGAAAAACAACACATCATCACAAACTGAACCAAATGCGAAGGACGTGACCTTGGAAAAAGGTCAACAAGGCTACATTGCTGCGGCCAAAGACAGCATCACGAGTGCGGTGGAAAAAGCTGCGCCGGTGGCGCAGAAGGCGAAAGGGTACACGCTTCAAGCGGCGGAGAAGGCCAAGTGTGCGGGATGCACGACGGCGAGTTACGTGGGGGAGAAAGCGGTGGAGGGTGGGAAGACAGCGGCGGAGTATGCCGGAAAGGTTGCAGTGGATTTGAAGGACAAGGCCGTGGTGGCGGGGTGGGCCGCGGCCCATTTCTCGACGGAGAAGACGGTGGAGGGGACGAAGGCGGCGGCCCATGTGATGGAGGGAGCGGCGGGATATGCGGGACAGAAGGCCGCCGATCTGGCTTCGAAGTCGGCGGGTGCTGTTAAAGGGTTGGCTGCTTCTGCTGGTGAGACTGCTAAGGATTACACTGCAAGGAAGAAAGAGGAGGCAAAGCGGGAATTGGAGGCCAAGAAAGCATTACAATCTCAGGTTCTTTACAATTTCAAAATTAATGTTTTATCTTTCATATTACTACTTTAAGACATCATAACAATTTTGATGGAATGATATATAACATCAAAAGCAACATACTGAGAATTGACACTTTGATTTAGGAAGCGAAAGGTATTGGCGAAACTGTGAGCGAGCATGCGCAAGAAGCGAAGCCAAGTGGAGGAGCCTCTCAGCAAGAGGGAACAGGAAGCAACGTGTTGAATGCAATAGGCGAAACTGTGAGCAGTGTTGGGGAGAAGGTGAAGAAACCGTTTGAAAACATGATGGGAGGAGGAGAAGGAAAAACGGAAAGTGGAGGGCAAGAGCAGAAAAAGAGTGTCATTGGTGAAACCGCGTCTGAGATTGGACAGAACATTATGAAACCAGCTGAGAGAGTTCAGGAGCATGGTCAAGAGGCAAAGCAAGAGGATGGGGTGTTGAGTGCCATTGGTGAAACCATCGCTGAGATTGCTGAAACAGCTAGAGTCATGGTTGGTGGTGAGGGAGAAAAAGAGTTGAAGCAGAACGTGGGATCAGACACTCGCGTAACTGATGATGCCAAACATGAAGGCTCACAGAGTGCTCGAGTTTAAGTAAACGCTGTCTTTTAAGGTTTATGAGGTTTAAGGTTTGGTTATATGTCATGCTTAGTTTGTCTGAGTTCCATGTTTCGGGTTTGCTCTATGGACAAATAAGAATCTCCTTTTAGATTATGAAGATTTGTAAAAATGTGTGTTTATTTATGGTCGTAAACAATATGTGCTTTTCTAAATTCTACCCATGCAAGTAAATATTTAATATATTTCTGTATTTTATTTACTAATGTGCTACGATAGTATTTAATGGGTTATGTTAACATACCTAATTTCTGCAACAAATTTTACAAGGTACTATCAGTTAAAGATAATTCTATTTGATATAGCCTTATCCATCCACCCCTAATTCTCTTGTTGGTTGTTGTTGATGTACACGAATTCAACAGGACTATATTAATATTAAAATATGGTTGGATAGAAATTAAGGTGAGTATCTCAATCATCTCTGGAGAACCTGTGATCATACGGTGATGGCGTAGCATTAACATGACGTGCAACTAATACTTTATATATATATAAATCATGGTTAGCATTAATGGAAGTTTATCTTATTTTTGTTTATATCAACTGGAAAAGCATGGAGAAAGGGCAAAAAGAAAAGAAGGAAGGAATTCAGAGTAATGTACTGTAGGCTTTCATTTTACAAGTTAATGTCAATAAACAAGAATAATTATTAGTTGATACCCTGTTCAATTCAAACAGAGAAGCAATGAATACTTGCCTTTGAACATATTTTTGAGCCTTTCAAGAGTCCCAAATGGGGCCAAAGGCAGGGATATTAGCCCTCTTGCATGCTCTAAGGACATCTCTACTACCTTCAGGGTTGCTAGTGACAATAACCACTTCAACATTCCACCTAATGGCAGCATTCACACTCATCTCAGCCACATTGGGACGACCACAAATTGCTGTGTCATGCACTATCACTTTCTCTTTTGGATATTTGTTCACCAATTCTCTAATCTCCTTTCCAAAGTTCAATTCAATATCCTTTGCTACCCAAACTAAGCACACGTCAGCCTTACTAGGCTGCAAAAGAAATGACAAGAACACACAAATCCCTGACCCTGTGGCAACCAACAACACCCTTTGGTACAAGTTCACTAGGTAAGGCAAGCCTGCAAAGTGCATGGTCCGAACCCAAAGATGCTTTGGTGGGGTACTAATCAAGGACTTGGTGTAGTCACCAACTGCACCAGCAAGCATCATGTGCTCTTTCTTCCCATCAGATATGATCCCAAAGGCATGCCATTCAGACAAGGGTGAAGGACTAATTCTACCTAGTAATCCTGCTTGAACACCACCTTCAAACTTGATGATTGATGCGTGGTTTGATGGAGCTGATACACTAACTTTCACCTTTCTAACACTTAGCCAAGGAATGATAATGATAATTGTGATGGCTAAAGTGAACCACCACTCTTGCTTCTTGACCACCTTAGACATGGTGAAGTCATAGGTGTGTGAGTTAGGTTCATAGCTTAGGGAGAGAAGAATGAATAGCCAGAGAAGGATGAGAGCCATCCATCCAGCAAAACGGTGTGTTCTCTCAAAAACATTGTGATGAAGGTGGCGGAGAAGAGGGAAAGCTGCAAGGGAAGAGAGTAGAAGGAGTGAGAGGATGGTAAATGCAACTACAATTATCTCTGGGGAGGTTTTGTCTTTGTTTCTCAAAGTAAGAACTGATGAATAAACAAGCCAGGCTATAGAAGAAACACCACAACCACTATGGATTCCTCCAACGCTTTGAAGGAATGAAGTTGTGGCAGTTTTGATTCCAAGAGAAACACAAGGCCTCCCAAGAGTCTTCACAGCCAACCAAAAAATAACTCTCAAAAAAGCCTCACTTCTACATAGTGTTAGAGCTAGAATGTTCCCAATAGAGAACAACGTAGCTCTTTTCTTGGCATAAGGGAAATTCCCTACAGCAGAGAGAGCCAATGCCACTATATTCAAGGCCATGCAAACCACAAAAAGCCCTTTGTAGAATGTGAGCCCTTGATCAATCAGAATTATGGACAGCCTTGACCTCCTTGGTGCATCAGTTTTCTGAAATAGCTTTTGCACCTTGACCCCATTAGCTTTATCTGCTTTTTCTACATCTTGAACTTCAGCTATGAACTCTACCTCAACATCACTAGCATCTATGTCAATGTCACAGAAGTGGCTGCTGGTTCTGCTCCGAGTTGGACTAATTGTTTGAGGCTGAGGAAGAACTTTGAATGAATTCGTTCGAGTCCATGGAAGCCAAAGCCAAGCTCCAATTCGTTCCTGCTTTGTTGGTGATCCAATTGCAAAGGGGTTGCTTTTGTTGGGATTGATTTCAAATGCTACCCCACGACAACTTGAAAACCTGGCTATCTTTATCCCTGTGCTTTCCATTTCTTCCATGGTGAATGGATAATCTATCAGGTTGAATATAGAAATGATAGATAGAAAATCTCATAATATAGTGCAGCTAGAGATGGTGGAATTCCTTATGAAGGTTGCATATTAGCTCCTAGACAAGGAAGGCTTATAATCTTTATATAAAGAGTAATGCTAAATCTGAACACCAAAGTTGGTGTAGTGGTGAGATTGGAATGATATGTAAAAGGTATTAAATTTGAACTCGTTGCCGTTATTGTAGTTTCTAAGAATTTTTTTTTAAAAAAAAAATAAGTGATGCTAAATCCTCTCAAAACAATTTGGTGAAATTCTCAAAATTATAGAAACTATAAAAAAGAATAAAATTATTTTATAAGGAGGGAATGTATCTATAAGGACATGTAATGGGCAATAGAATCATAAAACATAAAAATCATATAAAATTATAAAACAAAGAAGTGGAAAGTTCATGGAACATATTTGTTGAATAACTATACTATTCTATATATTTTTCATTCGTATATAAAATAAATATATGAAAATTGACAATCATAAATAATGTTCATATATGTTGTCAATAAAATACATGTATCCATCATCATTAAGCACATATATTTGTATATGAAAATTGACAATCATAAATAATGTTCATATATGTTGTCAATAAAATACATGTATCCATCATCATTAAGCACATATATTTGTCTAAAATTAAATACTTAGTTGGATATTACCTACTAAAATAAGCAAACATAATTATAAGTAACCATAATTAATTATAATAGTAAAAGTAAAGGAAAACTTTTACTACTTTAAGAGTATCAATGATTCATGATTGTTTTTTTTTATCGAATTTACAAATCATTAAAGGTGATGATAACATCTTATATGCTCTACTATCAATGGTGGTGGAGATACCAACAAAGAAACTTCGACACTCAAATTAAAGGAAGTCTAGGGTAAGTGTAGCATCAGGAGATGTATTCTTCTTATCTCTAGGTTTGCAGATAATATTATACAATATCTTTATATTCCCACAATTGTGGGAATATTTGATGTGTGGAGATATCATTCACGATATATTGATCTTTAGTGTATTTTGAGATTTTTAGAGATATGATATGAGAGTTATCTTTTGATTGTTAAAGATATAATTGCATAACTCATTTTCCAATTTTGAGTGTGGACAAGCCGCTGAAACTACTCGGTATGCATGACCTCATTATGAACTCAACTCGATTTACTGGAGACAACGTTAATACAAAATAAAATCATTTTACGGATATATATCAATTGTTCATGCTATAATAAAGAGTGTCATGCATAATTAAAAGACTTTCCAAAATAGAAAATGTTATCATGATCCAACCGTAATCTCAAAAAGTCTACCCTATCCTAATTTTTCATAATTTCATACCTAGGTCAATTGTTAACGAAATCATTATGATAATAATTGTTGCTACAACAAAGAATGTGTGTTTGGTTAGGACTCTTAATAGTAATTTATAGTATAGTTATCCTTTGAAATAAGCGTACACCTGATTTTCTTGATTTGATATCAAGACAAGCATTAAAAGAAAAACAACTAAACCGACCATGCTCCTATAATTAGTAGCAGTTTAATTATTTTAACATTTCCTATGCAAATTCATTTGGTTATGTTATAATGTTAATTACTCCTTGTTCAAATTTCAAACATGATCAACTCTTACCTTATACCTGCCGAGATACAAAGTTTATCTTGACAGAATAAAAAATGAAGGCACAAGGACTGCACGTTCGAATGTGGCAGAGAAAAAATCTGAATCCAATAATATATACCAACCAAATCTTTGTGATATTGCTGGTGAAGTGTTATGAACGTTGCATTATTGCTGGCCATCACCATAAATAAAACGCTCGTAGTTTACATTCTATAAACTGACTCATACCGAGTCTAACATTTTTCTAAACAAAACCTGAATATATCTAATTATATAGAAACATTGACATCAGCCTCCACCATCAGTTTGTCAAAAATGACAATAATTGTGCCTCCTTTTCTTTTCTTTTAAATGCGAATTCCTCCTCTTGTACGTGGTATTCTTAATTCTCAAATCATAATTTCTAGTGTTAATAGAATATTAGTCCCAGCACAACTTCGTGAAACATGGGGATGTCACATTGATTAATATTATTGGTAAACATGAAAGAGAATCATCTTAATAATTTTTTTGTCTTTCAAAATAATATATATATATTACGCAAAGGAATCCAAAAAATTTGTCAGTTTGTCTAAATTATAAGTTTGGCCTTATTTAACCTAATTAACTACTTTGCAAGAGAGACAATGTTTTTATCTTTAATTTCTTAAACCATTTTTTAAAAAAATGTCAACAACTTAGGATGTATTTGAAAATCCATTTGCGTTAATGTAAACCAAAATTCATACATTCAAATACATTTTACTTCTTTACTAAGAAGTAGGAATTTTTGTTTTGTTTTTCATTTAATGTGATTTTTTTTGTAAATTTTCAACGATAAATCAAATATGCACTTAGTGGCTAATTTTCCTGTTAGACAAAGAGGGGCATTTCTTGGCTAGAACCGACAGAATCATTTTAGGTTGGAAATGTGTGTTCAAACTGTTTAGTTATGATGTTTCAGATGTTTGAGAGAGAACGAAGGAAGAACCTAGAATATATGGCAGTGCGTTAATTTAGTGATAACATATATGAATTTCAAGGGTTTATACACAATGATAGCAGTGGCACAAGGTTTAGTGAAATTTCATTATCATATCAAGATAGAGAGAGATACAGCTAAGAGACATTAAACTTCGTAATCTCCTTATGATATTGTTGTTGACTTAATTTTATATATTTGTATACGTAACCAGCTCTAAACATTTCATTAAATCTTTGATTAACGTATCTCCTTTTCACCAAACCCATATCATATGTATGCATATATAATCAAGAGGTTTAGTTCAGATAGTTTAGGTGGTAACATGAGTGCATGTTATAAACTTTTTTGATATTCATGTTCTTTCTATATATAAGAGGAAGAAAAAGGATATGTATGTATAAGGAATCTTCTTTTCCAAGTGACGTGAAATGTTGAAGCATTGTGGCATCTTTGCCCGAATAATAACTACTAAATAAAAGAAAAAGAACATGATCAAAGCAATAAAGATAGAATTTGGTTGCATTGTTGGTCATGGAACACCTCACATGGTCAGGTTAGGGGCCCTTTTCATAACCTAGCTGCAGGCCAAAATTTTCATGTGTCTTCACTTTTCATTTCACCTATTATGAGAATTAGTTAATTTAATTAAAGATATTAAATTTTTCTTAAGTTTACATTTTCAAATTACCCTTAATATCAATGAAACACATTTTTATTTTTCAAATATTTAATTGTTTACTATTGTCTCGCCATTGATATATTTATTATCTTAATTTTTATAAGCTATATAAATGTGAAAAAATAAAGAAAAATTTTCAAAATCTTTTCTATAATACAAAGATTTGTTTTTTGAAAAATTCTCGGACTCTGAGACATTAATGTATCATACCTATTATCTATTGAACATAGATTAAAAAGACTCGTGAATAAGGTTATTTGTGTGAAAAGATAATTAATACAAAATATTTTAGAATTGTTCTCGTAAAATGAACCAAGTCAAACTTCTAATTTGATACTTAATTTTCATATATCTAATTTGTTTATTATAAAATGGATTGGAACGGTGATTCTTATAAATGAAAACTAGTCCACTAGATTTTAATTTTGTTGGCTCTTCTAAATTAAGAAGTACGTATGTATATTTTGGAGAATAAAATGCAATTCTAAGTTGATTAGAAAAATAATTGGATAATGCGATAAAATTATATATATATAAATATTTAATCTCCATTTTTTATTATTCAATTTTGTTCTTTCATATAATTGTATGAAAGATAGTTATTTTTTCTATAAAAAAAAAATATCTGCACAAACTTCTTTCTTTAACTGCATAAATAACCTTTGATCTTTATCATTTCCTTTCACAAATCAGCGTAGCCTGATTTGAATCTCCAAAATAATAATTCCTTTCTTTCCTGATATCAACCATTTCACATTAATTTCTTACATCCATCAAATTATTCTGTTCATAATTCCACTTCACTACCAACCAAGGTGTCTCCTTCGTAATCATTGTAAGTTGTGTAAATTATTTACTCTAGCCTATATATTGTACTGTTGTTTACAACTTTGTATTGTTCATTTTCTCCGAAGTAATATTATTCCTTTTTCATTCAAGCAGTTCCAGAAATGTTTATATCGTACCGGAAATGATTATAGGCTCCTATATTTTATACTCATATATGTAAAAAATTTAACCTGACATTCTCTATAAATGGAAGTGTAGGCAAGAGGAAAAATTAAGAATTCTTTTTCATTATAATACATAAAATGCTTGAGGTCATTTCAAAATACATAAAATATACATAAAATACTTGAGGTGATTTCAAAATACATGATTTATTATAATACTTTTTTGTGATAGTCATTGATTTGGAAAATTAGTCAATGTTTTCCACCCCAAATCATCAATTATTTTGCTTACGTAAATTTGCATGTTGATGTCAGTAGTCATAGCCAAACTAATAAAATAATCAATTGGTTAACTTAATGAGGTAACTCAAGTCTAAAGCACCAAATTAACATCCTAACATGGTTGAAACTGGAAAAATTACCTGCCAAAATCTTTTCTCCATTGTGCTGTACTTGCAACCAACAAGCAGCCCATTCTGTGTATAAATTTTGTAAAAGTAATGACTGTTTGCATAAATTTTGCAATACACAATGGAGTTGGCTAAGATCACTTCGTGTTAAACATTTGGATTTTTTTTTCTTCGTTTGGGAATTTGATATTTTTTTTGGTCTGATATCCTTTTCTTTTATATGTTTTCAGGTGTGTAATTTACTAATTTTCAGGATGGTAGTCATTGCCTTTTCAACTGTTCTCCATATTTTGATTTCAGCTGTCCATATCTCCC